TTTACTGTGTATCAATAAATATAGACGGAATTCCACTTTTTAAATTATCAAGTGTGTGCATGTGCCCAATACTTGCATGTTTTGATAATTCTGACATTTTTATCATTGCTATCTTTTGTGGAGATCATAAACCCGACAATGTTAATGACTATTTATTAGATTTTGTCAATGAATGGATTCATTTAAGACAGAATGGCATTTTGTTTAATGGACGCCACCTAAGCATAGAGATTCAGTCGTTCATTTGTGATGCACCATCTAGGGCCTTTCTAAAGTGCATAAAAAATCATACAGGTTATGATTCCTGTGAAAGGTATACTATCCAAGGAACACACGATAGGTATGTGAGTATCGCGTTTTACGAAACCGAATTTTGTGCTAAAATTCTGTTCCACCTTTTTCGTAGTCTCTTAAAAGTTAGAGTGCTTGAGGAAGGCTTTGTGGAATAACTTTTTAGTATTCGTTATCAACATAGATTATTTTTAGAAAGAAGAATAATTGAAGCATTAGTTCGATTGGTTTTTAATTATACTCACTTAATTTATTAACGAGTTTATTGATGTCAAAATTTTGGTTGTACTTCTGTGGTGAATTTAATGTCCAGGATAAAGTCTTTTTTTTATTAAATTTATTCATTTATCTATGCACCTGCCAATTTTCGTTGAAAAATATTTTGTAGCAGTCACCTTATTTCTTGCTGCACTTTTGTTCATTTTACCTGATGTTGGCGCGGGAGACAGAGGGGTCTTTTGATTGTTTTTATTTATATTTATTTTACATATATAGTATTCATATTAGCAATATTTGACTTATATCATAAATTGATATTGTAAACCTAGATATTTTAGAATAAAAATATAGTTAAAAAATTCGTACATTTAAAAGAAATTACTTTAATAAAACGATTTTTAGTAAATATTAAAATAAGACTTTGATTTTATATTTGATTTAGAAATAAAATGGAGGAAGAAAGTAAAGGTTTCATCTAGTTTTTCATCTAGTAATTTATTAATAAGAATTAGATGTGAATTAAATTATTGATGAATCATATCTAATTTGAAGATTGAACGTTGTTTTTATTTAATAAGAAATATTTTTATGGATAAGTTGTTTCGATATAAATTTATTAAACTGTTTTTAAATCTGGCCACTATCTAAATCTTTATGTATAACTTAAATATTTCTTTCACTGTTTTAGATAAACAAAGTTGTAGTGCAGCCGACAACATCAGTTAGTTACTTTCTGTATTCAATAGCTTAGTAGTTATTAAATAGATGCTATTATAATATATGTTCTATATATATATATATATATATATATATATATATATATATATATATATATATATACATATATATATATATATATATATATATATATATATATATATATATATATATATATATATATATATATATATATATATATATATATACATATATAAATGATATTAGTTTTCTAATACAGTTCTTTATTATGCCTGTGTAGATTGTTGTCTAACAATATTATTTCTTGTTAGTTGTATTTTTGTATACTTAAGTCACTCTTTTTTTTCTGTAGACAATTTAGGACAAACAATCAGTAAGTTAAGTTTGAATTGTTTTAGTTACTATATCATTTAAAGTATTTTTATGCTGTGTTAGTATTCCTTGTTGAATAAATGTTTTGATTTAAAAGTTTTTTTTAAAAGATTTAAGTTTAAGAAAAAAGATTGTTAAATGGTCAATTAATGTAGCACATAAAAACAGATTTAAAAATCAACTGCATCGATGCAAAGAGATGAGATTTGCCAAAGACAAAAAATCAAGCGCCAAAAAATGGATGAAAAAGAAAAAAGAAAGTTAGAGCGTGAGCTATCCAAATTGAGTTTTAACGAAATTATTAATTCATGCAAGCGCTTGTCCAATGACCAACTATTTGATTTAGAAGATCTCATGTCAGATAGAATTGTTCGGAAGAAACTAGAACATGAATGGTACGATCCAAAAACATGCAAAAGTGTTTTATATAGCGAAAGAGTAGAAAAAGTTGATAAAAGAAAAAATAATTTTATTTACACCATTTCTTACTGGAAAGATGATGAAACTGATATTGGAGCTGTTGACTATTGCATGAAAAAGAGCTCACTGAGAACAAAACTAGCTTGCTGCTGAGGTTGTTTTCAGTGAGTTACAATTTAATTAATTTAATAACACTGCAAGTGTTGTGACTTGTCAAAAATATGTTGCAAGTGTTGTGACTTGCATAAATAATATTTATTTTGAAACAGGAAATTTGTTTATTAACCGAAGAAAATGGTTAGCTCGTTAACCATACTGTATGGTTCTGTTAATGTGAGAATCACATGAAAGACAATAATATAGGTATTTGCTATACTTGGTTATAAAGATAACATGTTTTTTTAAAGCCAATTGACTTAATTATAGCCCCACAATAGTAGTTGTATAATTTTTTTAGTAATATATAACCAATTAAATAATAATGTTAGGTTAGAGGGGGAAAAAATTCATAGTAGATATGTTGATGATGTTTTAAAGGGGAAAGAGGCATTCTAAATGCCTCTTTTCTTTCTTTCCCCTTTAAAACATCATCAACATATCTACTATGAGTTTTACATTCATCTTCCATATTTGATGGTTGTCTGATATGAATTTATTTTTTAATTTATTTCCAATTTCATACTTTCATTTTTAAATTTATTATTCAAATTTTGAAAACAGTAATTGTATATATTTTTTTAGGATGGGTGGGAGGGGGCATACGCCCTCCTGTAATAGAAACACCACTTGTAGACGTAAGATCATGTATAAAATAATTTTATATTGTATACTAATTTTACACATTTCAGTAAAGATATAAATATAAAATCAAGTCGTTTTTGATACTAGGGTGTAACAAACCACCACCACCACACCCACCTCTATTGCTAACATACACCTCTCATATATTTTAATGGTTAAGTATAAGTTTAAAACAATTTGCTTTAATATTTATATTGCTTATGTCTTTAAAAAAAACTTTTTTTCTGAAAAAAGTGTTCAGTTTCGTACGGGTATGGTGGTGGTTTGGTGCCCCCTCTGTCCGTCCAAAACGCCCGGTGGTTAGAGTTTAACATAAAGTTGTAGCCCACTCTTACACCTATCTTTTGACACTAAGATATTTGTTTTTCGATAAGAATTGACAAAGTTATGACAATTTAAGTAAAGAAAAACATTATTTTGACCACAGCTTCTTCAACAAATCCTAATATCGAAAAATCGGTACTTAAACCGTCATAACTTTTGAACTAATTGTTCAATTTTGATAATTTTTTCACCTTTAAAATACTGTAATAATTGTCTTTCTAATGATATATAACATTATAGTATTCAAACAATTTGAAATTTTTACTCACGTACCTACACACGAAGGAAGAGTTATTTTTAATCATGAAAGAATCTTTCAATTAGGAGATAACGATAATTTTGAACAGCTTGGCTACTGTGATGGTCATCAGCATAATAGGTCTCCTTTAATTGGAATTGTTAGTGATTGTATTTGTTCTTTTACACTAGACTACATGCATCTAGTATGCTTAGGTGTAATGCGCCGTATGTTAAATTATCTGAAAAAAGGTCCTGGTGGAAAAATATCTGCTGCTCAAATTTCAGAGATATCTCAAGTATTGACTTCTTTTACTGGATGTATACCTAGTGAGTTTGCACGACAACCTCGAAGTTTAAAGGAATTAGATAGGTGGAAAGCAACCAAGTTCAGACAATTTTTGTTATGTACTAGCTCGGTTGCATTAAGAGGTAATGTCTCAAAGGAGTTGTATGAACATTTTTTAACCCTAAGTCTTGCCATGACCAAATTGTTACAAGATAATGATAGTGTACGTGTTCCGTATTTAGATTATGTATGTAGTTTATTAAAGTATTTTGTGCATCAAGCCAAGTATATATATGGTAACACACTCACAGTTTACAATGTTCATAACCTTTTGCACCTAGTTGATGATTGTCGAACTAATTCATTTTTTTCTTAACAGAATATCCTGCTTTCCTTTTAAAAACTTTCTTCAAAGAATAAAAAAGAGTATACGTAATTCATCTAATCCAATCTCTCAAGTTTCAAAACGACAACATGAGTATCAAAATTTTTTAGGAGGGTTACCTAAGAAAAATTTAGAAAGTAAAATCTCTGCTAACAGAAAAGATAGGTGTTTTTTGCTTCTCAACTCTTCTATTGCATTTGTTAAAGCTAATAATAGCAATGGTACATTTCAATGTAATGTTATCGGTTCTATGTATTTAGAAAATGTATTTGACTCTCCAGCTCCATCTATGAAATTTGGTATTTTATTATTGCGAACTATAAATTTTAATAAGGTTGTGGAGAAAACTCTAAGAATTGCTGATTTTCAAAGGAAGTGTGTTTGTTTGGAGGAAAAAAGAGGCTTATCAATATTTCCATTACTGCATAATGATGAGAAATCGAAACAATAATTTTTCTGAGAGTTTATTTTGCTGCATTTATTTTCCACACTGTTTATTGTTTATATATACATATATAATAATTTAAAAAAAAATTATTTAAAAATTTAATGTTGCTTTGAGTATAGCATATTCATCATTTATATAATTGATAAAAAGAAAAATTGAGCCTAATACTAATTATTCCAGTGTTACAGATAGGTTGATAGGATTTTTGTATGTAATTATATTAGCTTCCTTAATAAATAGTTAACACTCAAGGGGTTTATATGTTTCATATGCTTAATTAATGTCCAACTTTTAATACTTTAAATACAAGGTATTTGAAAATCTTGTGCAAAATATTTAAACTGTGTTTATTTAAATAAATTATTTATTTAACTGTGTTATTGTATTTAAACAATTACAATTTTATAAAATTATATTTCAATTCGTGATCATTTTTTTATTTCTGTATCAATAAAATTTAAATTTTTATTTTTATTGCATATGTAAGGAAGCACTTTGTTGAGGGTAATTAAATATATTCACACAAATATAAATATTATAACTTATTGCTACTTTTAATATATATTTTGAACTTTAGTTATTATTGCTTTAAAGTTAAAATGTCTTGGTGCCGAGCAGTATGGTTGGAGGGATCAACAGAAGAAGAGCTGACAATCCCGTCAGTTTGGATTGAAGGAGCAGTAAATGAAAAACAGTTTGTGAGGTGGCCCAATGGTATCAATGTTTTAAAAGCATGTAAACAGCAGGCAATACCACATAATGATTGGTTTTCCTTTCCACTCCTTAAGGAAAAATGTCGTCATAGTAAGTATTTAAATACTTTTTTACTAATTAACTGATTGGCAGTTTAAAATAGTAACTGTTTGTAAAAGGCTTAGGCGTTTACTTTAATTATTTATTAATAATTACACATGCAGTATTAAAATATTTAGATGATAAAACAGTGTGTGAAGGATTTGACTTCACTAGTGACGATTCAGAAGCGTATTCTAATAAGCAAATAGACAAATCGTGTGATTTGACCTTTGAAAATGAGAAAGTCATTAAATATAGAACAATACATAAAATACGTATGTTTTTTGCTATTGTTTTTTTATTGATTTAACATACTTTCACTAATTGTGTTTTGTGTTTAAAATTTTCATTGTATGATAAGTGCCATGGGCAATATATATATCATATATAATATATATTTTATATTTTAATAATAATATCATATATAATATATAACTTGAAAAAGAGGACATGTTCCCTTTTTCAAGTTAGAGATTCATATATATTATATATATATATATATATATATATATATATATATATATATATATATATATATATATATATATATATATATATATATATATATATATATATATATATATATATATATATATATATATATATATATATATATATACTAAAGATAAATTTTATTTTAGCTGTATGTCCTGAAGAGCCCATGTTTATTAGAACTAGATACACTTGTATATATAGATATATGAGTATATAGATAGATATAGAGAGATATATTGATATAACATTATTTTGATTTTAGAAAAGACAGTTAACAATGGTTGGTGGAAATTCATGTCATGCAAATGTCAAAGCCATACTTTCTAAGTAAGTTTGTTAGAGAAGAATAATACTGGTAAACTGACACACTGAAATTATGTTGAACATTTCAGTAAAGTCAAATTTGTTTCAAAACAAAGTTATTTTTTTATTTTAGACTCATGACAAACAAGTTGATGGCATGTTACAACATGAATGGAAAAAATAAAAAATCATTCATAAAAACAAAAGTATTCAGAGTCATTGTGGGTAGGTTGTTTTCTACTAAAACATTTTTTTAAGGAATGAGTTTATTTAATTGAAATGAAACGTTCATAGTTTTATTGGTATAAATTATATTATAAATATATTGGTATAAATTGTAACTAAATAAATGGATCTAATTTAGTATAAAGTAAAAAAGCATTGTTTGTCAGGTTAAATGGTGAAGCAACCTATTAGCTCCTTGTTAGTAGACAATGAGCTATATATTTAAAGTTACTTAATGAATAATTTGTAAAAAGCCTAATTTGCTTAAAAATTGAACATCATCAATTAAAAATATTTAATATTTAAATTTTTGTTATTTTAGAAAGCATGCCAAAGTACAAATTAAATGAATTGCACCAAGCTATTGGCAACGTTCTAAAACGTGCTCCCGACAGAAAAGATGGTGGTGGGCGTGGCTGTAGAGCGGAAGATGAACAAGATTTTTATAACAATAAATCTCAATGATCTTTAATGAGTCGTTTTTATTTTAAACTAAATCTAAGTATTTTAAAGTAATTTTTAAGTATTTTTTATAGTGTCTAAGTATTTAGAAAAGGAAAGTTTAAAAATACATTTTTGAATAAGTTTTGGTTCAGAATAGGCTTGTAATTAGGTATTTCTAAGTATTAGTCATACCTTCAATTTCTAATTTAAATTCCTAAGTCTAAATTGGACATAAAGTGTACGTCCAAATTTGTACGTACATTGTACGTTCAAATTTGGACGTACATCAGTATTTCCATCCTGAACCAAATCTGAACCGAAATTGTACGTTTGAATTTGGACGTACATTGTACGTTCAAATTTGTACGTACATTGTACGTTCAAATCGGACGTACATCAGTATTTCCATCCTGAACCGATTCTGGACTAAAATTGTACGTTAAAATTGTACCCGTGCCCGCTGGGAACTGAATTCAGTCATGCTTGCAGATGACACGAATCTATTTCTTACCAACAATGATATCAAAACATTATATGCTGACATCAATATAGAACTAGTTAAAGTAAACAGCTGGTTTAAGGCTAACAAACTCTCGCTTAATGCTGAAAAAACAAATTATATACTATTCCATGAAAAAATACAAGAGGAAAATCTTCCCCTCAAATTGCCTAAACTATTCCTAAATGATAAACTAATTAAAAAACAATCCAATATAAAATTCTTAGGAATCATTGTTGACGAAAATTTATCCTGGCTTCCTCATATAATATACATCCAGTCAAAAATCACCAAAATCATAGGTTTGATGTATCGAGTTCGCATTTACGTCAATACACAAAGTCTGAAATTAATCTACTTTGGGCTAATACATAGCTTCATGAGGTATGCAAACATTTCATGGGCAAGTACTCAAACATCAAAGCTTAAAAAACTGTATAGTTTACAAAAACATGCATGCATAATCATTTACTATAAGGATAGGCGTGAACACGCTAAACCCTTAATGAGTGATATGAAAATGATGGTTGTGTTTGAAATAAATGTCTATCAGCATTTAACATTCATGTATCGTTACAATAACGAAACCTCTCCTATAAGCTTTAATAACAAGTTTGAATTAAATAAAAATAAAAACTATAATCTTAGAGCAAATATGTTAAACACATATAAACTGCCTCGGATAATAAACAAATATTCAGAATATAGCATTTCATATCGAGGTCCTAAAGAATGGAATACCTTTCAAAAAGGATTCGAAGGTACGGTAAATTCGTTGAGTTCATTCAGGTTTATAACAAAAAAAGAAATTTTTAAAATTTGAGAAACTTTTTTGGTTAATGTTACCACTCTACGTTGTTGTTGTTTAACAATTTTATTAGCAAATTACGCATTTTATTACGATGTTTATTACGATATTTAATTGAAATTTTATTGCGTATATATTTTACGAAATTTTATTACGTAATACGATATTTTTTTGAAATTTTGTTAAAGGGGCTCTATGAAAAGATTGCGTTGGCGTACTGTCATCCTCATCTTCTTGAGCTCCTACCTGTTTTTACTTAAAAAAATGTAAAACTCTTATGTTATATTAAAACAGAAAAAATAAAAAATAAATAAAAAAAATAAAATAATAAAAATAATATAAACTAAAATTAAAAAAAAAAATAAAGCAGCAGTGGCGCAGTAATTAGAATTCTGGCTCAGATCCTAGAGGTTCCACGCTCGTCGCCGGTTCTAGCCCAACAAGTGATATTAGAAAGGAAAATAGCGTGAAATAGTTTACGTCACTTCCATAGTAAAACATTTTTCTCATGCAAAATCGGAAACGAAAAGAAAATTTTCAATACTGGTTAACATTGTTAAAATTAACCCAATAATTTCACAGAAGCGCACAAAAAGATTTTTTCATTGTTTTGTTGTTACAGTTTTAAATAGATGATCTTTGAAATCGCAAAAAAATTGATAATTCTTATAAGTTGCAAAAAGTACCACACCGTTCAGTTCAAAAAAAAGTACTAAAGCTGCGCGACAACTTTATTTCTAAAAATAAATGTATTATTTATGGCGATGAAACTATTAATTACGAAATTTTATTGGATGCCTAACAAGAATGAATTAAGATTTTTTTAACTTTATGTATCGGTTTATTTGAGTTATAACCAATTTTAAATAAAATTTGACGAGTACTTGACGAGTATTTATTTTTAGTATTATTTCTTATTTCCCATTTGTTTCGGGTACACGCTTTAATATCTAATTCATTTATTTAATCATAAATTATGAAAATTTACAATAATATTTGATAAACGCACATAAATAAGGTTAGTTATCACTCATATAGTTAAAAACTAGTTAATGGAGTAACACCTAAAAAAAAAATTAGAAAAAAACCCATAAATAAAACATAAAAAGAATTTTAAATAAAATAAAAAGGAAAAAAAAAAAAAAGAAAGAAAATAAAGCACTAATAAATAAAGATAACATCAATAATTGAAATAATAATTTAATGAAAAAATAATAATAGTATGAATAAAAAAATATTACAAATATTAACGAAAACATGATAACTTTACTAAAAATTATAACTAATGATTAAGTCTGTGGTAAAAATAGTTATAGTAAAGTTTATAATTATGACAGAAATTATTAAAATAAACATAACATTAGCACAAATTAAGACAAATACCATAAAACTACTCTCACAATGGAACCACTATCACTATAAATAATATTAATAAGATTTCTAAAACAAAGGTAATTTAATGATAGTAGTAATATTAGTAGTAGAGTTGACAGTATTAAATAAAAGTCATAATAGTTACAGTAATATAAAAAAAGCAATAATAATAAAAGATAAAATTAATATTCATTAAATATATACTCAAATAAAAATTCCTTAATTTGGTTTCGATTGAGAAGGATGTTGATAATAAAAGGGTATTTAGTCAAAATTCTTTTTTTAATAGATTTTTTGGTTCCAGTGAGATGTTGTATAGAGAGCTTGCCTTATTTGATAGTGCTAAAAGAGAATGTGTGCAAGTTAAAATTTTCAGTATTTCGAGTGTGTCACTTTTTTTTATGTGTCTTTGTCTTAATAAAAAAAAATTAAACGAATTAGGTAGTTTAATTTGAAGAAAATCAAACACAAAGAGAAAATTATTAAGATATAAAATATACACACAGATATAAAAAAAGTGACACACTCGAAATACTGAAAATTTTAACTTGCACACATTCTTTTTTAGCACTATCAAATATGGCAAGCTCTCTATAAAACACCTCACTGGAACCAAAAAATGTATAAAAAAAAAAGATGTTGAAATTTTATAATTTTTAATTCAGAAAACCTATTTTGGATATTAGATCGTAAAGGAAAAAATGTCATTATTCTTATGGAAGTGCGTACTATTGGCACGTGAGTTTTTTATTTAAATGAATTAGCCCAAGGTATTTTATATATTTAGATTAGAAAGTCTTTCACCATTAATTTTAATTTTCACATTATTACTATCAATCTTTTTTTTTTGGAGGGTGAAAATAAATAAATTCAGTTTTTTGGTATTTAGGGAAAGACAGTTATTATTTAACCAATGACACAAATGATGAAGATCTGAATTAACTTTTTTACAAAGCTGCGCGAGTGATTTATTTATGCATAGAAGATTAGTGTCGTCAGCGAAATAATGAACAATCAAATTATTTATAGAGTGAGGCAGATCGTTAATATAAAATTTATCTATTTTGGGTACATGCTTCAAAATATACTTATTTTGGATACACGTTTTAAAATATATTTATTTCGGGTACACGCTTTAAAATATATTTTTGCGCTTAAAAAATATATAAAGTTTAGAACCGAATCATTTTTTAAACGTTTTAAGAAAAGACGTATTTAGAAAATGGTTCAAAAAATAAAATAAAATGCAGTTTTTATTTCGTTTTTAACAGTTTCCATCTCATGTTAACCTACTGGAAAAGGTGATAAAAATCATTGAAATCAAAATAACTTCATTCAAAATAATTATCAAAATCAAAATAAATTCATTCATATTATATTCAATAGCCTTTTAAATACACAGCTACATTTTGAGATAAATATAGAAAGTTAGCAAGAAAAAAATATTAAAAAATGATGGCTTCTTTAAAATCCCAGCTCCGCAGTACTCTGAATTTGTTTCGTATGGTTGAGTTGGATTAAAGCATTCATTTGGTCTGACTCGAAATCTTTGATCTTGAAAAGAATCTAAGTCTTTATTTTTAGTAGAACTTGTTTCCAATGGTTTTTGGTTGCATTTAAAGTGATTAGGTTCTGCTATTATAAACACTAAATTTGTCTCAGGTACACTGGTTAAAATGTAATTTTGAAAAATGGACGGTTCGCATTCAACAGAACCTTTATAGACTACACTTTTATTTGTATTTTCACTACAGGGTGAATTGTTCAATAAGTGATCTTTAAATAAAAAAAAATTCATTTCCTTGGTGCAACTCACATTTATTGGATCAATTGTTGTTTCAGCATTTGCTGAATACTTTCGAAAAAAAGAGGTACCTAATACTGTTATATGTAAAAGCAAGCTCCAACAGGAACCAATAAGCCATGTACTTAAACTAAGCATTAGTTGTATAGGGTTTAACAAAAAATTAGAGGCAGAGTCGTATATTTGTGGAACCGGACATTCAGCCTGTGTGTCATCTAAAGTAATTTTTCGAAATATAGAAATATTAGGACTAGATAAGTGATCCATCAAAGCTCCATGGTCTTTTCCAAAAAAGCTTCCTATTGCTTTATCACCAAGGTTACTGACGACAATATAGCCGTGTTGATCAACTATGGCGCAAACAACAGAGTCGTTGTTCTTACAGTTAAGATTTTCAGTTGCATTATCAAACATTTGTTTAATGAAACCAGAATGCATTTCAGTACCAGTAACTAGTAAAAAAAAAATTTAAATTAATCAAAAAAGCATTCTGATACTCTAAAAATACACAGTATGTCAGAGATCAGACCAAAGCTGGTCAGAGAACTGGCAAAAAGTATTTTTGTAAATAAATTTTACAAAATATTCAAATACCATACACTACAAACAAAGAATTAGTCATTTAAATATTTAGGATTTCGTTTAGGAGTCCTGGAAAAGTTTGTTTATGTAAAAAGCATTTATTAAAATAGATTTTAAAGATTTTTTTGATAGGGGCCATAAATCCATATCATCCATAAAGATAGGTGCCATAAGTCCATACCATCCGTAAAGTACGTATGCAGTAAAACTACTATTTTAGGACCCCACCTCCACGCTTATACGAACCTGGTTTCATCAACAACCCCCCTCCCCCTACAAAATTACATTTAGTTAATTCAAAATTTTTCTATTAAATAACATAAAATTGATTTATTAAACTCGTATAACATAAAATTGATTTTTTAAACTCTTTTTTTTTTTAAATTTTATTAAATTTTTACAAAAATGCAATAAGTTTTAGGAGAGATATGGAATGAGAGATAATCAAATTGCGTTCGTACTTTCACCCCCCCTCCCTTTTACGCACTTGTACGTTTTTGGGTAACCCTCTCATATCCTAGTATGGAATTAACATTTTTACAGTTGAATTAAATACTCAAGCTTTTTTTAGTTAATTATCAATTATGTTGTAGATTATCTAAAATGCAAATAACACTTAAAAAATAAAAATAAAATTTTTAAATGAAAGATTCTGTATCCGACCATTATATAAAACTTTTGAAATTATTTATAATTTCTTTCATTCTTTGGAAAACATTTTTTATTAAAAAATCCTGATGTTTATTAAGTTACATTTGACCTCTAATATCGACTTAAATTTTTTTTCTGAAAATTAAAAAAATAATAATAAATAAATATAACATCGACTTTAAATTCTTTTCTAAAAATTTTTACAAAAAATGGAAAAACACAGACAAAATAATAGATATACAGTTGCGAAAAATAAAACAGCACCGCTAAGGGTATTTTCCTTTTTGTTAAAAAAACACCATACAAAATAAATAATTTTTTATAGCTTTGCTGTTTAAAATATTAGCTAACATGTTTATTTTCTAAAACAAATCATTTTGGGAAAAAAAAAAAGCTTGGTGTTGCTCGATTTTAATCAAAAATGCTAATTCTGACCGAAAAATAAAATAGCACCACACACTCTTTTGTTGTAAAATACTCTAATGACAGTAAATATTATTGTGAAAATAGCAAGGTTTGGGTTTTTTGTTGTTGCTGTTTTTTTCGTTTTATGTTAGTGAGTATTAGTAGGAGACATTTACATATAAAAATGAAAAAGCGGAAAGCATTGTAGTGCACAAAAAAAAGAACTGATCCACAAGTTGATATCAGCAGGGAAATTTTATCGAGAAGTTGGTTGTATTGTTGAGTGCTACAATTAAATGATAAGAAATGCCATAAAATTTCAAAAAAAGCCTGAAATACGTGGTCAAAAACGTTTTATTTCAACATTGATGGCTAATCGCTTAGTCCGACAGGCTAAAAAGGAACCTTTTAAAACAGCTACCAAGCTAAAAAAGGACTTTAACATCGATGCAACAGTAGAAGCAGTTCGGAGTTGTCTGCAAGTTAATAGATTAAAAGCCTGTAACCCTAGAAAAGTTCCACTTCTACGTGCCAGACATGTTGTAAAGCGTATTGCGTTTGCTAAAAAACACTCAAATTGGCCACTCGAAAAATGGAGGAATATTTTATGGACAGACGAAAGTAAGATTGTGCTTTATGGTGAAAAAAGCTCTCAGGCGTATGTCAGAAGACCACCGAATGCAGAATACAATCCAAAATATACCATCAAAACTATTAAACATGGAGGTTGTTTAATATTTTGAAAATTCTCATACTTCAACCATGAGTATAACTTGCCGTTTGCAAGTTGTATTCAGAACTCAGGTAATACAGGTAATTATTAGATATTAATAATAATTATTTTAGTATATTTATAGGTACCAAAGTCAAAATAAGATGTTACAGGTACCAAAGTCAAAATAAGATGGTGCAGTTGATTTAAACTAAAGAACAAAATGATGCAGTTAGCTTAATGTGAACTGAAGAGAAAGATTAAATTGATTATGATATGTTTAGTAAAGCTAATTATCGTCGGATCGACGTTGGGTTTATGTTGGAAATGGAAATGTTATTTGATATCGGATAAACTGACATTCCAATGTTAATCCAACGTGTTTTTTGTAAACTAAAAAAAGTTTTCTTAGACAGGAATCGAACCTTGACCCAATTATACTAAATCCTATGCGCTAACCACTACACCATAGGGACACATGATTGAAATAAAAACAATTATATTTAGTAAGATATATTTATAGTTACTTGGGAATTTTTACTTTGATAAGAAATAATTTAGTTTTAATATTATACAAATATTAAAACAAACAGTTATATTTTATAAAGAGTGTATATTCAAAAAATTTAAAAGTTCAAAAATTTTGCTAGTGCATCATACGAAACCTCATGATGTTTTATCAACCATTATTCAAACTAGCTTCCATTAATAAGGAACAAATTTGGTACACATTTTTGTTACAGAGCGCAATAGCACACATAACATCAGGCTTGGATTGAATTTTCATCAGCAATGTCATAAAAAGATGTTGCTCCAACGTATTTTTATGGACATTAGATCAACATTGGAAGATGTCAAGTGACATCGGATAATGTTGATATTACGTCGTAATATCAACAATATCCGATGTCACTTTATCGACAATGTCTTTTTATCAACATTGAAACAACATCAATACTGCAACGTTGTTCAGATGTCTTTTACATGACGTCGGAACAACGTTAAAAGATATCAAAAAGATGTTGGAAGATGTTGAGGTAATGACGTCGCCATGACGTAGTCTTACTGACATTGGAACAACGTCCAAATAGGTCTGTTGATGTCGCTAATATTTTATATAAAACATAAATTCTTAACATTTGGCCATTTTTTAATCCTTATTTTGAAATATTATATCTCTGATCAAAGTTGATTTTCTCAAAACATTTATTTTGTGACTTCAATTGAAGAAATTGGAAAACTATTTTAAAGAAATAAAAAATCGTCCTCAACACTTAATTTCCACTCAGTGAAATTTCACCCAAACATAACTTGTTTAAGAACAATAACTTGAGGCCATCTTTTTTTAAGTATGTAATATTTGTGGGTTGATCTCTTTAAATATGAATAATCTAATGTTGTTTTTTCAAAAGTTTTTATAAAAATACACTCTGAAAAAAAAGGGAGGACGTTATTCCTTAGGTTACGACATACCTTTAGTAAGGTTTTCATCTCTTTAAGGCAGAAAATTATATCACAAATAATCATTTGCTACACAAATTTCTTAAAGATATAATTTTCTGTCTTAGAAGTCAGAAAGTTATACCGTACTGTGGGTACAATTATACTTAATTGAGATCAATGTCTAAAACCACTAACTTGATACTAAGATGTTCAGGTTGTCTGCATCTGCAAAAAAGCTAACAATTAAAAAGATCTCCATGGTCACAAGAGTCCTTCAAAAACCTCAATCTGAAATTTTTTCATGTGCCCACTGTACAATGTATTATTTAAAAACTTGATATAGTGTAAATGAATAAATAAAAATAGTTAATAAAAGTAAATAAATAAATAAAAATATTAACAATATAAAACTGTTCTATGAAAAAACCTTTCAAGAATTTTTTTTGTATTTATAATTGTAAAATTGACAATAAAAATAAAAAAAAAATTGTAAAATTGACAATAATTAAAATATAAAATTTAAACAAAGTACAAAAAGTATTAAAATTTTTATATTTACTAAATAAATCTAAATTAAACATTTTTTCATAACTAACCTGCTACCAAAGTTTTACTTTTACCATGTTGAATCCAAGATGAAGCTTCAACTGTTATATAAAGAGGACCATTATTTAAAGTTGTGTTAAAAGGAGCTGATACAACAAGTTTGCTACATGGAACTGCTTGTGCTCGTTCAAAAATCGATGTCCGCAGTGAATCTGGTTCAGGAGGTATAGTTTGGTTTGTTGAAAAAAACCTATAAATAACATAAAAAAGTAAAGTTTAAAAACAAATCCTAGTGAGCTAGGAGCAAACTGCACAGGGTAAAATAAACTATATTATGATTATATATTTCCATTTACAATAGTGTTGGAAAAAAAATTTCTTTTTTTTTCTCAACATTTTCACTTTCAAAAGCTGCAAGCAACCACTTTTAGAGCTGGAAGTTACTGGAAGAGAAAAGATAAAGTTTATAGAGAAAGATAACAATTAACAGACAAATTAAAATATTGCTAATTGTATGAACCAAGAAAACAAGACGAAGGAAGTGAATTCCAAAGAACTGATGTTCGAGGTAAAAAACTGGGCGAATAAGAATTTTTAGAGCACATAGGAACAGTCACAGTTAAAGGATGAGACTTGATAGAATGACGAGTAACACAAGAATGAATTTCAGTAGATGGCAATAGAGACGCCAGCTCTTCAGAGCAGTGCCCATTATAGTATTTGTAGAAAAAAGAAAGAGAAGCAACGTTATGATGATGTGATAATGGTTGGAAGATAGCTGCTAGAGCAGGTCCAACTATGTTTAAAATAATTTTGTGCCTTATCTAAGAGAGAAAGGGCATCATTTGAAGATTCGTTCCAGATATGGCAACAGTATTCTATACAAGAACAGATTTGAGATTTATAGAGATAGAGAATAGAATCCAGAGTAAGAAAGTCATGATAAAAAGATGCAACCTTAGCAGATGCTAATTTTGCAATTGATTTGATATATGGTTTTCAAGAAAGATCAAAAGTAAGAGTTAATCCTAGAAGATGAAGGGTAGATGACTCATCAAGTACATTATTGTTTGTTGATATAGGAAGATTTAGATTATTGCGATAAAGATTAGCTGAAAAAAATTAATTTTTCTTTGAGTTAAAGTTCACCAGCCACTGAGAGTCCCATTCTATAGCAGAAGTGAGATCCATTGCAAGCTCAAATGCTCCCTCCAAGCAATCGGAGAGTGTTGACTTCTTATCAAAACAAGAATAAATGGTAGCATCATCTGCAAACAATGTCACCTTAGCTGTGAAAATATCTGAAAGATCATTAATGTAAATTAAAAAGAGTATATGGCCAAGAATTGAACCTTGAAGAAACCCTAAAGTGATAAGATATGAAGAAAAGTGCTGTCCATCAAGGACAACTTTAATACTACAATTGGTAAGGAAGGATTCAATAATCTTAAAGATGTTACCTAATACACCGTAAGAAGAAAGCTTATGGAGAAGACCAGCATGCCAAACTTTATCAAAAACTGTAGAAATATTATGAGTGATAGAGCCTTAAAATTCTCTACCTAATGCACAATAAAACCAATAGGTTATTACTTTTGCAAATCAGCTGTAGAAGAAGAAGATCGAAATCCATATTGATGATCAGAAAGTAAATTAATAGATTCAAGATGAGAGGTTAAATGTTTGTTTATCAAAAATCTTGCTTATAATAGGAAGAAGACTAATGGGACGGTTAGATGATTCAGATCACTCTCCAGAGTTTTTGAACAAGTTAAAAAGTTGAATATTTGAGTTAGAGATTGAGAAAGGCTAAAGTTGTGGGCCTGCAGAGTCACTGACACTAGAGCCAAGCTACTCAGTGTGATGAGCATTAAAGTCACCAACAACAACGATTTTGGCTGATGGATAAAGAGAGAGAAATTTGATCAGAAATAACATTGAAAAGAGTGCAGTCTTGAGATGAAGGAGAGCAATATATATATATATAAGAGAAAGGTGATAAAGTGAAATGGTGCTAATCGAAAGCACTTAAAAGAAAAGTCTGCGGATTAAAAGAATAGTCTGTGAATTTCAGTTTTCTAATAAATGGGTGAATTCTTAAGAAAGTAAATTTCTAGGCCAAGCATGTGACTATTGGAGTCTTTACGAATTTAAGGAAGATAAACATCAACACTAAGATCACAAAATAAGACAGCTACACTAAGATCACAAGATAAGACAACTCAAATTAGTCTCACAAAGAGCAAGAAGGTCTGGTGAACTTTGCAAGAGATAAGACTCAACAGAAGACAAGATACTTCGAAGACCACGAATATTAGTGAATGATAGGTTTAGAGAACTTGGTGATGATTATGGTTTGAGTCATTTTAAATTTGCTAAAGAACTTGACTCAAAGCATAGATTGTACACAGTACACTATTTAATAGTCCAACCAATTACCTCATTACTATTAATAAACACTAAGCCATAATAAAGGGCTCCAAATGTGACCTCGACAATGCACACCAAAAGTACAAATAGGGACACCATCCATGTGCAACATGGCACTGTTAATACTTTAATATTTTTCGGCTGTTGATGGAATCAGCCTCTCTGAGAGCTACCATAAAGTTCAGAAACCTGACTACCAACCAGCCTCAGAACAATAAAACTGAGTTTTAGAGCTGTACCCTCATTAGGAGATAATAGAATGAGTTGCCTAGTCATAAAAACAGAGACACAAGCAAAACCCATAAGTCAAGAAGATCCAGCATTCAACATTCTAAACTGGAAACAATGTATTTTAATACATTGCATTTAATACATTGATACATCTGCGCCAACCTAACAGATGAAGTAGGGTGCGAGGCTGGTCAACAGATCTGTTAACCTCTTAAGTCTTTGCCTATGAGGACTTCTACAAGACAGTGGCCGGATACATTTAACATCTGCCCAAGATGAGTATTTTTATCAAGACACAGCACTAGCCTTTACTTAACCAAGAGCCCCAAAGCAGGGGGGATTCTAAGTCGGAGTTGACTTTTCCTAGCCTTTGCCTAAAAAAGCGTATCCTATAAGCCAGCAGGACATGAAGCAGGTTGTACTGGGTTACATGTTACCAGTAGCAGGATAACCTGACCTGAGATTAAATATTACACAATCTGTTAATTATATAAAGCTATATAGATACCTATTATAAAAGTTAATTTTTCTAAACTTTTTTTTTATAATTATAAATCAAAACATTGGAAGAGTTATATTGCTTCAGGCATAAATACTTGTAGCAATCAATTAAATAAAAAACTTCTTCTATAGATGTAATTCTATAAATAAATTTATACTTGATAATGTTATCAAGTATATTTATTTTTGATAACAAGAGTTAAACTCTCTTAAAATATTATTTTGAAAAATTGATAATAGAATTATATATATAGAAGAAGTTTTTTATTTAATTATAAAAAAATAAATTCTTTATAAGATATCATTTAAAGTTTGTAATTTGGTATTCAATGTATTCGACCACATTTTATACTATTCGGTATTTGGCCGAATATTCCAAACTATTTGGCCGAATACCGAATACTGAAACATCAAAAAAATTGCATTAGAAATAGATTAAACTACTATATATTACTATAATAATACAATAAACAAATTAATCAAATAATAAATATATTATATATCAGGCTTTCCCAGGAAAGGCGTGCGGTCGCATGCCTTGTTTGTCCACATAGAAAATAAATTTTTCAGAAAACGTGACCGCGACAATATTTCGCGGGAAAGTAGAACTCATCCACAGGGAACAAAAAATAATACTAAAAATAGGACACGAAATCTTACTAAAGCATAAAATTGAAATTGGATGTAAGAAAAATATTTTAATAAAAAAAAAATTAATAAAAAAATATTCTTGTAACAAAAAAAAAAGAAAAGTCTAAATAAATTAAATATTTTTTTCAAAATTTTATACTATTCTTGTTTTCTTATTTTAGGCTTGTTATTTTCAGCGATGAAATTTGATACAAGTCAAGGGAAAGACGACTATAAGTCATAAAAATTTCTCGAAAATAAAAAGACTTGATATATAATTTATTCACAAATTTCATCAGTCAATATATCAAAAAACTAATTCATTATTTACGCTATACAAATTTGGTTAAATATTTTAATTTTATTCAGTTTTTACAAAGGTTTATGCAACGACGATGACATTATTTCCCAATAATTAGACAAGAAAATAAATTGCTGTTTATTATTAAATATATAATATTTGAGATTTTAGACGTAACAAGATTTTAATGCGGAAAAAAGTATTAAAAGCTCATTTAAATAAACATTGAATACAATTAATAAATGTAAATTGTTTCATTGCAATCATTGGTAAAGTAGTCTTTGCCCATGGATTCACTGTGTTCTTCATCTGAATCTGATGTGCTACCATCGTTGGAACAGTCATCACTGTTGCTGGATCCTTGATATTGCTTATCTGAACCCGATGGTTCGGAAGAACTTATTTCACTTTCAACTGGTATAGCCGCTTGCCTAATATTTGTATGAACTTCAGCATTATCAGTTTTCGACGTATTTTCTTTGTTTAATATTTTTGGTTGAATAGGAAATTTAACAACTCTACGTTTTCCCAAGTATTTGTAAACAGCTTCTTTTAATATATCTTTACGCTGATCATCTGTCCATACATGGCAATTTCCAGCAATAAACAAACACTGTTCCATGGTACTATGGTTCATTCTGAGCCGATGGTCTGTAAGGATAGTAGATAGTGTACTGAAACATCTCTCTACTACACTGTTCGACGATGATAAACAAAGGCACAACTCGGATAACAAAAGGATATTTGGAAAATCTTTTCTTTTATATGTAAATAGTTTTCCCCAAATTTCTATGAAAGTTGAACTGGAGTAAAACGATCTTACGAATAATTGCAAAGTTTTCCATTCTTCAAAAACTGTTGCTTCTTTGAAGTTTGCTGCTTCGAGCAGTTCACGAAAATATTCCATAAGATAATATTAAAATTAATATTTTCCCATCCATTATCTTGATTGTCCGTCCAATATTTAGGATCAAGTCACATCATGGACGCGAACACGGGATTATCTTTAAATGATGCAAATCGACTATTAATTAATGGTACTAATATGTTAATGCATTCTTTTCTCAGTTCCAAAGCTCTTTCAACGTCTTCTTGCTTTGGGTTTATCATTCCTTCAAGCTTGATGTCGATGTATTTTATATTCTTTTTTTTTTTTG